CTTGAAACTCTTCACCCGTGAAAGAAGCGATTATCCGTACCTAGGATGTTTATCGCTTTGCGGCAGTCGGTTGAAATTGATTCTAAGATTGGGGAGATGATATAAACTTTTGTATAAAGTTAAATTCAGTTAATTATATTCATTCAACGGATGTATAAAAAAGAGCTTGCCTTTCATCTGAAAAAGTAAAGTAAAATTTGAAAATATTATTTTTATTAAAGACATTTATGCAGAAATATCCTATCATTTGTAAATGCGTCTAAGCTTTAAACTATGCGACTAAGAAAATCATGATTATTTTTGTCATGAAAAAGTCCGCATGGATGATGTCGACAGTTGAATATTGAAACACGTGTTTCCCTTAAACATAGAAAGGAAAATCTACTATAGAGAATTAAAAAAAATACATATATTTCATAAAGGACGGTTACAAATTAAAATTTCAACACTGGCGAGAAATTCCGTGCTATATTTTATACAACGTTTTTTGTTTTTTTAACAATAAACGTTTTCATTCAGATTAGCTTTCAAATGAACTCCAGGTGCCACAATCCTCGGTCTGTACTTCTCAGCTGTCTGGTGAAATACCGCATGCCTTCATGTCCCTCTTGCACGCATGCCTGAAGCGGAGTGATGGACGGCCGATTTTTCATGTGCCAACTGGACATATAGGATTTCCTTTGGCAGCTTCCAATCCTCCATGAATAGGATATGTCCCAGCCAGCGAAGGTGGCGTTTGCTCGGCAGGGAGTATATGCTTGGGATACTTGCACGTTGAAGGATCACGTTGTGTGGAATGTGGTCTTGTCAGCCGATTTTCATGATGCGTTGTAGGCATCGTATGTGAAGGACTTTAGTTGACGCTCTTGCCACATGAAGGTGCTCCACGTCTCACTTCCATATAGGAGGATGTTCAGAACTTAGATTTGGTAGACTGGAATCTTGGTGTGCACTGTCAACGCACTGTTTTCCCACACCCTCTTTGTTAGTCGGGCCATGATGTCCAAGCCTTCTCCCAGCTCCACATCAAGCGAAAGAGTGTTGCTGATGGATGATCCTAGGTAAATAAAGTTGTTGACTACGTCCAGGGTGGTGCCGTCGATTTTGTGGAAGGTGCAGTGATGACATCTTGAGCACTGACATTTGTCTTTTTAGGCTGATGGTGAGCCCGAACCCTTTGCAGGCATGAGTGTGGGTCACAAGAACCGCGTCGTCAGCAAAGAACATCTCCGTGATGAGTACTTTGGTCTTCGATCGCAGTCGTGCCAGGTTGAACAGCATCCCGTCTGACCTGGTGTGCATATAAACGCCATCAGTGGACGTGCTGAAGGCGTGGGACAGGAGCAGGGAGAAGAAGATGCAAAATGAGTTGGTGCCAACACGCATCCCTGCTTCACGCCGCTGTTTATGGGGAAGGAATCTGAGGTGGATCCATCATACAGGAAAGTACCCTTCATATCGGTATGGAAGGAGATTATCATGCTGCGGTGGTTTTTTTTTGGGGGGGGAGGGGTCAAATAGGCCCTTCCTGCTGACCAGGTCAAAGGCCTTGGTAAGATCGATAAACATCATGTTGATCTTGTTTTCAGCTTTTCTCTTGGAGTTATCGGAGGGAAAAGATCACTTCTGTTGTTGACCTTCCTGCTCTGAAGCCGCACTGGGAAACCGGGTACACCCGGTCTGCAAGCAACTGCAGCCTGTTAAGAAGGATGCGAGCAAACACTTTGCCAGCGATGCTGAGAAGTGAAATTCTTCTGTAATTGTTACAATATTGCGGTCTAACTTGTTTTTGTTTTTTTTAGAGAGTCACAATGGTGGCATCACGCATGTATTGGGGCACAGCTCCTTTCTCCCAGCAGAGGCAGAGTAGCTCATGTAGTGGCTGTAGCAATGTGGGTTTCCCATTTTTGATGGCTTCTGGCAGGATGCTATCGCTACCTGGTACACTGTCATGTGGGATGGAGTCGATCGCTTTGCTGAGTTCCTCTAAGGTAGGCAATTTGTCTAGCTCCTCCAAAGTGGGCAGTTCCTGTACGCTGCTGAGCGCCACATCGGTTACCGACGTTTCTTGGGAGTACAGCTCTGGTTAGTGCTCCACCCATCTGGTTATTTGTTGCTCACGTCTGTGATCTTCTCACCCATCAGATATTTTAGAGGCAACCCTTTTCACTATAAGACCTAGAACCTTCTTGATGCCACTGTACATGCCTAGGATATTTTCTGACTCGGCACTGCGCACTATTCCTTCACACAATTGCTGCCAGTATTCGTTTGCTAACTAAATAGCGCTTGGCTCTTCTGAGGGCAACAAGCGTGTGTGTGTGTGCGCGTGTATATATATATATATATATATATATATATATATATATATATATATATATATATATATATATATATATATATATATATATATATATATATATATATATATATATATAAAGAATACAAATCATATGGCGAATAACAACCCTCTCAAGCGTACTGGATCCACCAAGGGATCACGTGTGTCAGGGATTAATTAAAATAGATGCAATAAACTGACGACGAACAGTACGAAACTAGTAACTAACTAGCCTAAGCACTTTCGACTCTTAATCAGTCTTTTTCAAAGGCAAATACAAAACATAGTTACGACAAACAAATAAACACAAAAACGTTGTGTTTGTAAACCTCTACATTTCAGTCTTCACATGTGCAAAAACTATAAATACAACCAGCTTGTATAGCACATGTGAAGACAGAAATGTAGAGGTTTACAAACACAACGTTTTTGTGTTTATTTGTTTGTCGTAACATTGTTTTGTATTTGCCTTTGAAAAAGACTCATTAAGAGTCGAAAGCGCTTCGGCTAGTTAGTTACTAGTTTCGTACTGTTCGTCGTCAGTTTATTGCATCTATATATATATATATATATATATATCTATATATATATATATATATATATATATATATATATATATATATATATATATATATATATATATATATATATATATATAATATATATATATATATATATATATATATATATATATATATATATATATATATATATATATATTTTATATATAGATGCAATAAACTGACGACGAACAGTACGAAACTAGTTACTAGTTTCGTACTGTTCGTCGTCAGTTTTTTGCATCTATATCTATATATATATATATATATATATATATATATATATATATATATATATATCTATATATATATATATATATATATATATATATATATATATATATATATATATATATAGATGCAATAAACAGACGACTAACAGTACGAAACTAGTTACTAGTTTCGTGCTGTTCGTCGTCAGTTTATTGCATCTATTTTAATTAATCCCTGACACACGTGATCCCTTGGTGGATCCAGTACGCTTGAAAGGGTTGTTATTCGCCATATGATTTGTATTCTTTATATATATATATATATATATATATATATATATATATATATATATATATATATATATATATATATATATATATATATATATATATATATATATATATATATATATATATATATTATGCAGATCCATCATACTAATATCAATATATACTACGACAATGAATTGATGAAGAACGATTAAACCTAAATTGGCATGGACAATTAATGAAACATTATTCTTTGTGTATGTATTATGTTCAATTCCCTGGCTCTGTCTTAATTTTATCAGACGACTACTGTATTATTTAGTTTAATAATACTAATTATACATCATGATTGTGATTTTTCTAACAGTGATATGTCTAGAATACAGATCAGACAAGTGGAGAGGGGCAAACAGGGATTTATCCCCGGGGCCTGAGCCCATACCTGGACCGAACAACACTTTTTAATTTTTTAAAAGGAAATGTTTTTTTTAACTAGAACTAGAAGAGGCCCGGGTGTTTCTTACCCCAGGGACCTTGATTGCTTGATCGCTCTCTACGGTCCTGCTATGCCATACAAATCTCGAAAAGAACGAGAAAAGAAATCTAACCCTTTTGAATACTATAGGTAAACATTCCGTTTTAAATGATTGGCACCACGTTTAACAACATCCTTTCCTTTCTATAAATTGTTAAGTAATTGAGATAACCAGGTGTCAACGCTATTTTAAGACCATTATCCCAGCGACTTTGTTCCAACAAGTACAAAATATAAAAGATAATGATAATACATCGACGCCAGTTTCGTCTGGAGGGAAATGAGACAAATCTTACAAACACGTTCTTAAATACGGTATGTTAATTTGTGCTCCCCCGCTCGCTATTAAAGCGCTAGATAATAACGTGAGATAGTATCTTGAAATCCGGTGATAAGGTCGACATTGATCAAATGAATAGTATACAATAAATCGGTGGTATAAAAAAAAATTGGCTAGCGATGGAGAGATTAAATTAGTTTCCTTTCGTCGATACCGTTATACACAATACAATCATAAATTTTAGAGTAGATATCATATTGTCGAAATGTTACTTAATGTACAGCTGGTACATAATAAGGCGCGCATTTAGAAAAAATGGCATTACAATAATAAAGCCGTATAACATAAAATGCAAAACATTTTTGCATATCAAATTTACCAGAAATATTAATAGTGTAGTGTGACAACTCTTGCAATCTTGTATATATTCCTACAGTCGGTAGAATATTCTCACAGTGTGGATTTGCTATGAAACTGATAATTTGGGGTTGGGGGTGGGTCGGGTCATAAATTTTGTAATTTGTTTAAACGGATGATATTTCTTCTCGCCTTCAGTACATCTAAAGGAAAATTGCAATGTCTGAATAATTATTTGATTTATCCAATATTAATGATTAAAACATTTTTAAATTTAAATGTGTTAAAACATTAATTATGTCTGCAGCATGGTGCCCCAGTGCTAGACATCACTATAAATTGCCACATTGTAGACATTATAGTGATATGACTGAAAAAATTGTTAAAGCTACCTTAAAAATCCAAATCACAAATACACACATATTATTTATACCTCATGTAAACCGCTCCGGTGGCCTAGTGGTTAGAGCATCTGTCCCGCATGCAGGAGGTCGTGGGTTCGATCCCCTGTCGAGTCATACCAAAGACTTACACAAATAGTACTAACAGCTTCCTCGCTTGGCGCTCAGCCTTAAGAGGTTAGTGTTAGGACTGGTCGGCCTGGTGTCAGGATAATGTGACTGGGTGGGACATCATGCCACGTGCTCGCGGCATGATGCCCCATTACTATAAACTGCCACACTCCAGGCATCATATCAATACGACTGAAAAATTGTTAAAGCTAAGTTAAACATCATAATCACATCACCTCACCTATACCTCGTGTACGATATTTTATATTCCACAGGTAAGAATGGGCTCATTCAACACATTGCTATAATACTAAGTATATCAGGATCGTTCAAACCTACCTACAGACACACACATACATGCATATTACATACATACACACGCACGCACACATACACACGTACGTACATACATACATACATACATACATACATACATACATACATACATACATACATACATACATACATACATACATACATACATACATACATACATAGTGACCCAACTAGCCGAGTGGTCTAAAGCTCTCATCGTTACGGATCACTGCCATTTCACCTCTTTCTGCGTGCGTTGGAGTCTCAGACCTAACATATGCTGAAAAATGACGTTAAACTCTATAACAACAATAATATGCATACATACATACATACATACATACATACATACATACATACATACATACATACATACATACATACATACATACATACATACATACATACATGCATGCATGCATGCATGCATGCATGCATGCATGCATGCATGCATGCATGCACGCACGCACGCACACACACACACACACACACACACACACATACATACATACATACATACATACATACATACATACATACATACATACATACATACATACATACATACATACATACATACATACATACATACATACATACATACATACATACATACATACATACATACATACATACATACATACATACATACATACATACATACATACTTACATACATACATACATACATACATACACACACACACACACACACACACACACACATACATACATACATACATACATACATACATACATACATACATACATACATACATACATACATACATACATACATACATACATACATACATACATACATACATACATACATACATACATGAGCTTCTGTAACATGACAATGTAGCTTATTCAAAACAGTTTCAGGTACAAAATCGCTGAAAATAAAGCGCTGCCTGAAGTAGTACAATATTGGAAGTTTGAGACCAGCTCACCAGATTCCGGTTTTCAGGCCAGAAACCCCTTCTTTATTTCACAGAACTTTTTGCCTACTGATACTTTGTTCACGCATGTGTCTGTACTTGTAGCCCTCATGAGTCCACACGGAAGTGGAAGTTTATCATGAGATGATTAGACTCCAAGCAGATTGAAAAGCGAGATGGTGCGTTTCTACCTTATTATTTCGTATAATTTTACGAAAGAGACACGAAAGCTGCCATATAATGTTTCAAAGACGTGTAAGGAGCATTTTAAGAATTTAACTGGGTATTGATTCAGGCGGAGTGAACACGACGAAAACTCGATTTAGAAGATAACAAAATGTGTTTAAAGTCATTGAACGAATTTGTACAAGAAAACCTCGTTTCACTGACGTTGATTGAGCCACCTAGTGAACACAATGACGTGTCTTGCGAAGACAGCGACGACGTCGGAATGACTAATGAAGACAGCGAATACATTACACTTACCACTAAAGATAGTGACAACAGCGAAGGCCACAAAAGCATATATCAAACAGGGATATACCTTCAACATTATATATCGAAATACCGTTTCAGTAAAACATTATTTTAATGCAGAGATACAGAGCCAATACAGTTAACATTAATGTTAATCTAGAGACTTTCAGGTTTAATGATATGTACATTTGAAACTCTTGCATGTCAAACATACCATAGACAGTCAGAGAAATGGCCTAAGCAAAGGCGGGGCCAGACTTGGATCATTTTAGCGTGGACACCTCCTTTCCCGAATTACGCAAGGGGACTCATATGAGCACGGAAATAAACGTTTTAGACAAGTTTTGAGTTATATTGACGTTAAACTTTTTCAATCGTTTTAAAATTTCTTTCTCTCCAAAGATATATTTTTAAAAAGTACGAACGCGCTGGGCTCCTGTGAGCGCTGGGACAGATTGGGCCAAATTAGTCCAATCGGTCTAAGGCCGGCCATGAACAGTCACTTTCGAGCTGATCGGTTGCACAACCAGCTTGAATAAAGTTTCATCTGAACATGAACAATGAATCAATTCCAAGATGCGGAGTCTACCAAGTTGTAAAATAACCTGCGCACGAGACACTATCCTGCATTTTAACATTACCTTTTCAAGCCCAACATGTTTAACAGTTGTTAGTAGTATCACTGGATTCAGTGCCTACTAATCTGATAAAGAGTCATTTTTGGAAACGCACACCATAAACTGAGAGAATAGAAGAAACAGTATCTTTTGCTTACATACATACATACATACATACATACATACATACATACATACATACATACATACATACATACATACATACATACATACATACATACATACATACATACATACATACATACATACATACATACATACATACATACATACATACATACATACATACATACATACATACATACATACATACATACATACATACATACATACATACATATTGTGATGCATGTATCGAATTTTGAAAACTCTTATAATTATTGATTAAATGAATTGTACTAAAGTCATCTTAATTAAAGTAGAAAGGGCTAGAGATAATTATATGATTATTCCCATTTCATCTCTGAAAGTCAAAGGAAATTCGTTCCACGGGACGAAACTTGACCGAGTAACCTGTTATGGTACAAGGGTTTTGGCATAACACTCTTTCCAAAATCAACCGGTTAAAAGGGGAAGCACGTCGATAATTGATTGTTCAAAGGAACGTTAATGGCGGCATGATTAGCTGTTTGTCAATCAAAAATTCTACGTAGAAGATTAGGAAACAGTCGATTCGGATTGGTAAATGGAAACTTAAGGTCGTAACTCTTGTAAGGAATTAGGGATTTTTTGCTTTGGAAAATTCTTCAGTCTTCAATCTTATTTGCGAGAAGTAAGAAGGACTCCGGACTAACGTAGAAGTACGTTTTTCCCGATATTGAATAAGGGACCAGATAGTCGTTTCAGATATGAGACAGACTATACGTTGGAGATTCGTGGAAAACGAATAAGAAATGGCAAAGGTATGCAATCTTAATTTCCAGATTTTTATATGATATTTCATTTGCTGATTTATTTACAAATGTATTATTATTATGATGTATGTATGAATGATTTCATTTTTCAGGGTTTTAGTGAAATGTTATGACATTCTATTCTTTGGTTTTCTAATTATCAATTTATTGGGTGAATTGACAAGATTGCATTTAATTGAATGTTCAGTGAGAGAATTGTCAAGATTGCATGTAATTGAATATTCGATACATAGGAGAGCCTAGGAATTTTCAAGAATTAAGCCTAAAAATGATGGGTAATGTTCGTAGATTTACGAAATAAATCTCAGTCTAGTATGCCATGTATTGAGCGTATATTCATATACTAGTTCGTAACATTAAATTGATCTATTGAGTGTATATTCATATACTAGTTCGTAATATTTAATTGATCACGTAAACTACTTTAGAATAGTTAGATTTGATGGATGAAGCCATATGTAAGTTAAAAATAGACTGTATTAAGTAGCTAGCTTAAAGTAGAGAAGTCTACGGGTGTTAAATACGGGCACATACGTGCTAGCCGTGAAGTGGATTTTAATGTTCCCCATTAGCGTGACCCGAATTAAGATCAGGACATGTAATGGCCGTTTCAGTTTGTAAACATAGGAATTAGTGAACGTGAGTACGGCAGAATTATGCATTTTATTTTCTGAGCTGGTTAATGTGTGTGTGTGTGTATATATATATATATATATATATATATATATATATATATATATATATATATATATATATATATATATATATATATATATATATATATATATATATATATATGTGTGTGTGTGTGTGTGTGTGTGTGTGTGTGTGTGTGTAAATGTGACCTATTGTCTATTTCGAGACATTTTATTTATTAAAGGAAACAGCTCCCTGAAATTTCATGAAAATTTCCTGTACATATTCCAAGTTCCTGAACAAATTCTGCGAAGTATTCATCAGAAGAATTCCCAGACGAAGTCCAGGTCTAGAGACGATCGTCAAATCGTACAAGTTTCGCCTGGCAAGAGTCCAGGTCTAGACGACTAGACAAAGGTTGGCAGTGCAGGAACGAACGGAATATTCGATGTCCGGATAAGATAGATGATGATGTCTTTCATCGTTGAACTCAAAGGTCACGACTCGTAGGCTATGACGAAATTGAATTAATTTTGTCACTGACAATTAATCGTAACGTGAATATATGTATTTTTTATTTAAGTACATGTTAGTACATTTTTCTTCTTTTGTAACATAGAAATTGATTTCTTCCATTTGAAATTCTGTTGTTTGAATTGATTAAATTTAATATTTGTTCATTGAAATGGGGCTCGTTGTGTTTATTTCTTCAATATACTTGTTCAGAGATCTGCATTCTTCTTTCTTTCCATCCACACTAGGTAAATTACATCGCGGGAGGTCATTCTCTAGCAACGAACCGTAGTGGAAGAGGTGGTGTATTTTAAACGCTACCAATTTATCACACATATGTGGAATGTCTCGAGGAAATTTAAAAAAGAAACAAATCATAAAAAACATGGAGTAAAAGTTTCTCGAAACGTGGGAAATTTCTAATCATGCCTTGAATCTTGACATGACTATGATTTTTAAACGTGTCAATATAAGATTTCAGCGGCAACGTTAACTCTCTCTCTCTCTCTCTCTCTCTCTCTCTCTCTCTCTCTCTCTCTCTCTCTCTCTCTCTCTCTCTCTCTCTCTCTC